AATTGCATTTAAAATTTATAGTAAACCAATTTATTAGTTGAATTGCGAAACCTAGTACAGTTTCCAATAAACACAAGAATATTGTGCAGCAGTCATTTAGAAAAAACACAAAATTTATTATTTTTTAACTATTTAAGTAAAGAGACACATTAAAAATATGACATACCTTACCGTATCTTTAGGAACATAAATAATACAAAAAGTTAGTTGTATTCATTTGAGATGGTATTCAACTATATGAGATAAATTTTTCTCTTAACCAAACGTGAAAAAAAAGGTTGTATTTGTAAAAAATACCAGCTTTTTGTATGCAACCCCATGAAATACAAAACCACGTGGTTTTCTAGAACTTAGTAGTATTCTTAAACAAAATCCAAGGGGTTAGTCACATGGTGTGACCATGTGGCTCACTACATGCTAAAACTACGTATTTTTTTTAGGAAACGATTGAATGTAAAAACATTAAGATAAGGTAGCAATACTTATTCATGACAAAATAACTATTTATTGGATAAATTTATTTATCCAGCAGTGAAGTAAGTATCACATTTTTGTCAAAATGGTAAACTGTCCTAATCTCTAAATAAGTAAGTATTTCATAGTAATTTACATTAATCACGAAAAACAATCATTCTTATCAATAGAGCAAGCTCACATTAGGAATCACAATAGAAGTATAGGGAGAAATATAAAAAGGATAATCTGATTTTTTGTTTTTCTTACCTAGTGTTATGAGTAATCCACAAAATATTTTTAAAACTGTAGTCGTATAGATGCACAACCGAATACATACCTCCATCGCTAAAATGTCTCTAAGTTATCCGTTTTCTAAAATGATATCATTGTTAAGCTGACATAAATCTGATGTCAGTTAGATATCAATTACTTATTTATGTGCGCTATTAGAATAAAATTGATTTGAAGAAGGAAGCAATCAGAAGATCAAGTGATTTATGTCTTACAAAACAATTTTTGTCCTAATATTGTACATCGATGAAAAATTAATATCTAGTTCACACCAACTCGATGTCGTTTCGACAACTAATACTACGTTAGGCATCCGATAAATGAAAAAGACATCGTAGTATTGAAAGTATGTTATTGATTTTTTAGATGTATAACAACACATTTAATATTGCTTTGTTATTGATGTTTAGTAAAACAGCTAAGTACAATAAACGATGTTTCACTGCAACTGTTGTGCCAGTATATTGTGATCAATAATATAAAAAACTATAATTTTTTTAGAGTACCCTTGAGTCATGAATGCAAGCTTTATTAAGCCCAAGAATCAAGGTTATTAATAAGTCTTTTAAATAAATTATATTTTAAGTAGTAGTGATTACAAAATTCTTTGATAGATATGTTAGAAACTTGCACAATGCCTAAGGAATTTTTGTACCTAAAAGATAATTAATTGCAGTTTGGATACCGTTTTCATTAATGACTTATTATATAGTATTGTTACGTCAACGTGACGTACTATTCAAGTTTAGGCTTTCGCTTAAGAACCCAGGACACACGCTGGGCACGTGAATGGAACACGGAGCTAAAGGGGTAGTTCCAACTAACGACACAATATTTGCAAAGGGGCTTCGACTGTCTTAATACAACTTGAAGCAATTATTATGCAAAAGCTATCCCGATGCACTTAACTTTATGCGGAGCAACGTACCGAAGGGTATATCGTCCGCGATCTAGATGATACCTGTACCATTACGGGATAAAGTTTCATTTCTAGAGGTTACGTAGGGGTAAAAGGTAATTTGCCTCATAACCGGACTTGGATATACTACTACCGTCGCGAGTACTGATTTTTGCTTTAATTCTAGTGGCTCTTGCTCCGATGGTACCACTACCGTGGTGGATAGTGGCGTGCACGAATAACAACTAAATAATTTTCAAGGATCCTTGGGTACCAATACCGTGGCGGATATTGGTGCGTGCGTAAACAACTTAGTTATGGACCTGGCGAAAAAAGATTAAATCGGTAAAGAAGGGATATTAAAAATGTTGTATTATAACTTTCACACTTACTTTTGTTTAAATATAAATGAAGTACACGGTGAACAAGTACGAGCCAAGGAAGGTATTTTTACGTTACGTGCTCATGGAGGACTAAGTGATAGTAGAGGCGGACTCTAACTGTTCAGTCAACCGTTTGAAGGTGAAAAACAAGAATTAACAGTGTCCTTACCTTGTGGTAGACTGGGAGGTAGCAGAGGCAGACTCTTACTACTTAGTCTAACGTTCGAGGGGTAGTACTTAATAGAGTCTCTGGGTCTTTTTATAAATAGCTGCTCTAGTTAAGTGACTTAGAAATTTGCTCTTCCTACATCTGGTTCATTCTCCTCTTTGTGCTAAGAGCAAGGAAGGAGATTTACTTGCTCATGCCCTTCCTTTCCCTTTTACATACAAAATTGACAGGATTTCAATATGATTCAACCTTAACATAAGGATAGAATATTAATAATATTTACTAATGCTAACCACTGGTCGTTTTTTCAACTAAACTCGTTGCAAAAAGAGCCATGTAAATCGCACAACAATTCGATTTACGCTCGGTTGAATAAACGATTGGTGATTTATTAGTTATTACTACTACTTAAACGCCAAAACGGTGGCTGCTGCCGTAATAACTTATAATTATAGTATTAGTGGTGGTAGCTACAATAATAAAAATAATAATAATAAAAATAATAATAATGATCATAATAATAATTATCATTATTACAATAATTACAATAATTATGATTGTAAAAATGATAATAAGAATAGCAGTTGTTAGAATAATGATGAGAGTAATAGTGCATTGCCTGTTGCGAGTTAACATAATTTGTTGTACCGATAGTTTTAAATGTTTATAATAATACAAAAATTATGCAGAATTTTGGTAGAATTTTAGTCAACATGTTTTTCTGCTCCAAGTCGTTGGAGAAGGAGTCGTCTCGTGGTACCCTAGGGAATCAGAAACTCTATTACTCCCATTAAAGGTAGGCGTACTGACACTCTCTCCGAGTGAAGAAAAGGGGAAGGGTCAACTTTCCGTTTTCCTTTACATTTGGGAAAAAGTGTTAGCAATCATTTAGATTACAAATTGGACTATTGCAGTATGTTTATGAAATTATTAATGCGATGCGAAAAGGGTTACTCTGTTAATCATGAACTTGAATGGTAAAAATCGGATAATCCCTTGAAAGTTAATAATGTTATTTACCAGGCTTGTCATAGTTAATGTGTAATGTAGTTGTTTGCTAGTGGTGTAATGTATACTGGTTGTTTGTGACGATTCTGGTTTTTACTAATATTTTTGCTTATTAATATGTATTAACTCTAAGCTCTCGTAATATTCAACTTTATGTCAGTTGGTCCTAATCTAAAATTGTATGCCTTTAATATTTTAGTTCAACTGTTCCCAGTTAAATTTTTGCATCTACGGTTGTCGAAGAATTTTTTTTTTTTTTTCGGTCAGCATAGGCCAGCGTGCATGTACATGAATCATCATTGTACTGCAGGTATGAGTAACTTGCAGGTGATTCACCTTTTTTTAGATGCACGTTGGTCCTTACTCAAATGCTTTTAAAACAACATTCCTAGGGAATGACCAGGAGAAAAATTTATGTGTAATTTTTAGTTTAGCGACGTTACAATATATTTGTAATATGTTAGTTCATTAGAAGACGTAATAACAAAAAATAATCAAATAAACAACAAATTTAAGTGTTTAAATGCATTTAGTCACAAAATATTTTGAATAAAAATTAGGTTAAAAAGCATGTCACTTAAACCTTATAACACTCAATAAAGAAAAAAAGTGCTGATAAATCTTCGATAAAGTAGTTGAGGTATTTAATGTGTCAATGATGAGCTTGGCTATCAAAGTTATACTTAAAAAGGTTGTTTTTAAAGTTTTAATATACATTCATGCAAAAGTTTTAGATAGGCTTATGGGATAAAATAATGAAAACGGGACGTTTGAAAATCGTGGTTATGTATTTGTTAAGCATGGGCTCTTATTGACGCATCAAATTTTGACACCAGAAATGATGCAATTATTCTGCGTAGAGCTGGGCCAAAATGACTTAAAGTCAGAATAATAAACAAGATGGATAATAAAATAGATTTGTAATAGTGCGTTCAAAATTGTAGCTCAACAGACAAAATCAAAAGATACTTAATGACTTATTTTATATAAGTATGAACACAGGTGAGTAGGTAAGAGTACGTTGCACTACATAAACATGCATCAGCAATTTAGTACACAACACAAGTTTTTGGTCTGTACAAACTTATCATTTCGTGAATATTTTATTTAGTAACCAAGAGAGTGCTCAGGATAGCTATTTTGTAATGTTATTTCTCCGATACTCATTTATTTATTCTATAAGCATTGCTCTCTTTTTTCTTGTTTCTTATACGTCATATTTACGGCTATCGAGCGTGAACTACCTTAATTAAAAATATTAATGTGTGTAAATCATCTGCTAATGTATGACGTATTATAATGATTTTGTAGAAAATTTGTTGTATCATACTATTTTTTACGAGTACATTAACAAAATCCAACCAAGCGATATTTATTTTCATCTATCACAAGTGGAGACCGTACATTAATTACATTACTGCATTGCTATAGTGTGAGCATATTTTAACGTCAGAGCATTATTTCAATTCACTCTAAACATTATATTTCTTACCATAATTTTATTAATGTATGACTGCAAGACAGTATAATACTATAAGTAGGAATAAGTTGTTTTATGAAACAAAACAAAACATAACCGTTTTTAAATTTTGATCTTAGAACTTTAAAAAGCTCACAATACAAACAATTAATTGCCACAAAAGGTTTTTAAAATTCTTACAAAAATATTAATCGAATACACATTATAGGATCAAGTAAAAAATAAAAAATATCAAACTTAAAAATTTTTCTAAATCACGCTATCATGCATAATTTGTATTTTAATTTTTTAATTAACCAACTTTAAAATACTTACTATCGACGCGTCCGTTTTGTTCCCTTGCCTTGTGAAGTCGAATTGACTTGTGTTACTCCAATGATTCCTACAGTTGTGGCCACCTCAGTACTATGAGGCTTCGTCTCAAGACAACTGCTATCTGGAGGATCCTTTCTTTTATCCACGGAAACATACTCTAAATAACCAATTTAATCATAAATAAACTTTTGAAATTACATTAATAAATAAAAATAAGTCATGGGTTTCATTTGCTTAGCTTGAACGGTACGAGATGTTGTGATCTGTGACAAATACAAGATCATAGTATTTACTACTTTTTGTTTACTCATTGTTTTTCTATGCCCCAAAGCTTTAGTGAATATAGTTTTACAGTATGTTTTTAGGTGGAAGAATAATTAATTTAAGAAATTTCGCATCAACTTTCCTAGTGCGGTGAGCGAGTGCCCAAACATGCACTTTCTACTTGCGTAAATAATATTGTACCTACATTAAAAAATATCTTAGAAATACAAGCTGCACTTGTTTTAAACATTCAATGCAACGATTGGTTCGTCTAAAAACGAGTTCCTAATCGTAAAAAATCACAAAACATTATAAACCATAAAAACAGAATTTTACGTATTTTTTGACAGTATAGATAAAAAAATCAGTTTTTTTTTGCACCGAAGAAGCTACTGTTCAGAAAGAAGTTTATTTAAAAAAAGATCAAGAGTAAGAGATCGAAGGACTCCTGACAAAAGCTAAGCTGCCTCGTATATATGGCAGCGATATATTATTCGAAATTAATTGTACTTACAAACAATGTCTGTAGATACACACTTACATGTATATGCTAAAGCATACGTGTGGGCCCACACACCCACACATCCATCCATACACACACAATCCTGGGATAAATATCCAAAAATTTACTGTCAAATTTTTAAGTATACATTGTTTTCCAAAAATAAAGAAATAAAAAAAACAATGTCAATAATAATCATAATAACAATCATAATTATAATAACAATAAGAACTACAAAAATAGAAAGATGATAGGAGATACATGAAAAAAAATCTGTACAACAGACATTCACTAAGGTAAATGTCCTTATTAAGATTGGCCCCACAGCACTAGCGCCACTGTCCTAGGTTAATCTCCATGAAGTAGCTATTTTTAAAAATGGCGAGAAAAGGCTTGTAACACTTAGCACCACCAGCGTTTCTACTTTTACACATTTTAGCGTGGTTCTGAAGTTTCGAGAGAAGGCTCTCAAGGGCCGATCTCATTAATAACAACAAATTTTATGTATAACTTGTGAGCTTTAATGGTAAAAATTTTGGTTTTCACTGGTGCTCTATAAATTTACTGTTAATATTCCCATTTTTGAAAATGGCTCCCAATTGTTGAATTTCTTTGTTCATAAGAAGATTATAAGACCAAAATGTACATTACTATAATACACTGTGCCTATTATTTTATAATTATGTTCCTATTTCTAAAACTTTTTCAAAACATAAATTTAGCATATTTTAAGACAATTGAAGTTTTGTCCTTTGAACAATCCAAACGTATAAAACAGAAATCATTTTAACGTTTATTTATTTATTAAAACTGTATTAATTACTCGTTGAAGTTTGGTACCATAATATGTTCACTTTTCAAGATAGGTTACGTTCAATTTTTTCCCTATTTACGGAGTCATCTTTAAAGTTGGTCATTTATGCCATGTATTCGCTATGCGCCTATGTCAGGTGAAGCCGTCAAGTGAGAGAAACTGTCCCTCACTAAGATTGCCAGAATGCATGGAGCCTTATAGGAAATTTTTTAAATAAATTTAATAAATTGTCATTAAGAGTACATTGACCGAATAAATCAGTGATTTAAGTGTGTATTATGTTAGTGTACAGTAATAAATTTTGTTTGGTGTTGTCATGTGTACTACAAGATTGGAAATATAAAAACATGGATTGCGACTGTGATAACATAACATGTATAATTGTTATATATGGTTGCACTTGTGTGCTGCTTGAGAAACACAAGTACTACTTACATTTATCCATTTCTCACAACACAGTGTTCAACATAAGTAAATACTAATGACAGGTTAGGTTAACTATTACACATTTATATTACATTTTCGTGGATTACTTATGTTTCTTAAGCTGTACACAAGTGTAAGCATGTATGTGCACTTAAATATACTGTGTTATCACAGTCGCAATCCATACTTTTATTTTTCCCAATCTTGTAGTACACATGGCAACACCGAACAAGATTTATTACTGAACACCAACACAACACACACAAATCACTGACTTATTTGGTCAATTCACTCTTCATAAACTTTTTTTTAAATTCATTGAAAAACTTTCCTATGAGGCTCCATGCATTCTGGGGACCTTAGCGAGGAACAATTCCTCTCACTCGACGGTGGCACCTTACATAGGCGCATAGCGAATAATGAAACTTTTTTTGTGACTTTATAATGATAAACCAAATATATAATTACTTCTTTATCAAATATGTTGCATAACATATACATAAATTTTCATGTTTCATTAATTAGAACAAGTTCTAAGAATAGGGACATTTACCTGATGAGCAGTGAGGAGCTACTACCGTATGAATAGTATAGCTAAGCCATGCTCTGTCTGCTCCCACGAATTCAAGCAGACGCTGTACGGCAACACATAACATGATTGCGCATGGTTATATATATACATGCATGCACGCGTCAGATAAATTAAAAATGTAAGTGAATATCATTATATCTACATACATCATGTACCATTTATATAGTATAGAAGATAGAGACTAGCTTGGTAAGCTGCTCGCCAGTTAGCAGCAACAGCACTGTACTGTATATGTAAAGGTACAATTCACAGCCGCTGGAAGTAGGAGAGAGAAAACACGTGACCATGTCTTTAAATTATGTCAGTTTTTATAAAGTCCCTTTTTTAGTTGAGATCCTAATCGTCCCATAAAAAACTTCGCTTCAAAAAATATGACAATAAACTGGAGGCGTTACATTACGCATAAGTGGCTATTTGTTACCACATACCAGTAGTTTAATCATTCTGCGTGCGGTACACACATTGAGTTAGTCAAGTCATTTTTATAGTATAGCAGTCAAACTGGTGTTATTTGTCGTACCTTTCTCACTGGTGGGGTGAACTAGTTTTCTTTGCATGCAAAAAAACAGGTCTTTAGCCGATAACTTTGCTAGTCAAGCACCATGCCACAGACTTTACAGTGACTTTCATAGAGCACATTAAAAGTTAAAACATATCAGATGATGATAATCCTACAATGAGCAGACTAGTCAAAAAATTAAAATAATAAAAGTTAGAGAGCCTGAGAAAGCTTAATTATCAGAGATCCAAAGTTTAATTATTGTTAAGTTTGCATTATAGATTATAATAATTAAGGCTTTTTCGTATCGATATTCTAGTAATGGAAAGGACTTCGTCGTATCAGCGTATATAAGAATTTTTTCAACTTTTCTACAGGCTAAAAAAAAGTTGTGCTGCTGTTTATAATGGACCAAATATTTGCATGAATTGTAAGTCAAAAATTCACAAATTTGGGTTACATAAAATCAAAGGAACAAAAGCAAGAGTGTACTTATTGACAGCTGATAAGAGATTTAAACTGTATACTTAACAGCAACATAAGCAGCCCCAACAGTTTTACCTATTACCTACGTAGCTCATGTTGCCAATGCAGTTGCATCGGCGCACCGATGTAGACTCATAATTAGGATCTATTTACGTTTGTTTACGTTGTAGTTTACAGTTGTTAGTAGTAAAAATTTGGTATTAGAGTTTCTTATCTTTTTGTGACTATAATCAAGCTTAACATTTTCTAATACTAAATCAACGTCCTTCTTATTACATGTCAATACTAGAAGATCTTTGTGCTAAGTTGGTTAGTTCAATTTATGAAAAGACTATTAGTAATACATGGCTGGTGTGCTTTTAAAATTCTGTTACAATGTTTGGTCACGTCACAAGTGGTAGTGAGACTTGTGAAATCAAGAAAAGTCCAAGATTCGTTCCAACTGGTCAGGCCTACGATTCATTGTTTTTATCATCGTCTACCAAAGAGTAACTATACAGAGCATATGGCGGCTAGGGCTCAAAAGCATTGAGATGCTGTTGAGAAGTTCTTGGTTTCTAAGGTCTTTTTTGGTGATTGGTAATGCTGCTTGTGACAAGAAAAGGCATTCATTATTCCTTGTCAATTTTAACGTGCCATTCTGAAAGAGGTTAAATTGAACAAGCTACAATACTTAATATTTCTCTCATTGCACTAGAAAAGTATTATACAGGTTTGATTTCAATCATTGTAGAATCCTTTCTACATGCTTAGCCAAGTGACATCTGATAAAATACACACAATATGGCCTGAACTAACCATGAGCTACAATAGCATGCGCTCTTTTCTACGTTATGTTAATATTTAACACTCACTGTTACTGAATCCACTTTTAATATTTTTTTTTTAATTTACAGATTTGAATTGAACTATGCTCTTAGTTAGCAGTGATTAAGAAAAAAATTGAATCAAATCAAAACTGACATAAAAAGATACAATATAATAAACAGAAGAAAGGAAATAAAAAAAGAAATGAAAAAAAAAAAGATAAAATGAAAATACAAAAAGAAATACAATAAAAAAAATTATAAAAAAATTAAAAGAAACAAACCAGGGGGTATAAACGGGTCATTGACCCACGGTAAGAACGAAAGTCTTTGTACATGAGATGAGTGCCAAAAAATAATTAAACTTGAGATGTGTGTGGAGAAACATCATAAACTTAAAAAAAAACAAAATTTCTCAGGTAACAAGGGGGTTGGGAGACCAATAGGAAGATCAAAGCTCTAAATGTTGTAACTCTTTTTTCTTTCAGTAGCAACTTTTAGTTGCAATTTCCAGTTTTAAGTTTTGCCTTTTTTTTGCTAATTATTTCAAAATGAAATTAATGATATGGCTTTGCAGTCATTGGCAGTAATATAGTGGACTGCTTAGAAGGTAATTTTAGTTGCAAAAAAAAATTATTGAGTTTAGCTCGGGCCTAGTAAACGAAAATTGAAAAAAAAATAATTTTAGAAATCGTTTTAACAACCAAAACAAACATTCAGACCGTTGACTATGTATAAATCTCTACAGACGACTCCAAAGCCATGACA